AGAGAGAGACAGAAAGATTTTTCCAAACAGCTAAATCAATGTTCTCTATGGCCATACCTATGTGAAGCCATTGTGGTCTGTGTATGACGATGTATATTACTGGTTTTTCACCAGATACTCAGCGCAGTAAACATCAGAAAAAAGACCAGAATGCATTTCAGTGTAATGCAATTGAACAGAAGACCTCATTTCAGGCATTAAAGCTAATAGCTAAAAGGTATTGGAAAATAAATGAAGACCCATACCGTGTGATACTACTGCACACAGACTTCATTTGAAGCTAAATTACCCATTTTAATGTGCCCCTCTAACCACAGAAATGTGTTAATATGATTTTATAACCCAGAGATGTCACCTTTTTACCTCGCTTGTGTGATTTGAGTGAGTATAATCCTTGAGTTAATAGAGATAATATCAAATTCGGGTCTCATTAAAAGATGGCTCCATCGCTTAACTGCCAAGCAGAATGACATCCAAAACAGGAATAAGAGGAAGCAAGAGGTTCTTTCCATTCATCAAAATCCACTGGTTTCTGTTCACATACAGTCTGTGAAAATTACATTTATTCAGTGCTTTAGGGTGGTAAATGCATTAAGATCAAGGGAGAGAGATCTGGCTTTGCACCCTGGTATTATGGCTTCTAGCGATAGGAAATATACCGACTAACAAATTACTTTCATTCTGTTTGAGCAGACACTTCACAGCCAGTTGTGTTTACAATGTGCCTGAGGGGATAAAGGTTTGAATGTCCAGTCAAATTGTAAATCCGTTTGTTGAATGAAAAGAAACTGACTTTTACCTACACTGTCTCACTTTCATCACCTGACGTTTGTTATTTTTTAACAACTCTTATCAGGACGGAATTATCACTCATCCCAGCGCAAAGCAAACATCAGTTTCACATTCAAAAAGCAAGGCCATTTAAAATTTAAGAGAGAGAAATCCCAGTGCTTTATACTGTTGACTTTGTTAGCATCAGAATCCATATTTTCACCGTGGCCATAAATTTGCGGTGCATATTTTAATTCAGGATTCCTACCACGTGCTGTAAAGACTTTATGAGAATATGTTGTGACCGATGCTGCTGAGGCAAAAAATATGACTACAGTCATAACTTAGAGTGAAATATCTACATTTCCTATTTCTGCTATATGTAGTCTTGACGTGAAAAAGGGTTTCTAGAAGATTAAGTACTTAACAAGGACATATTGGAAGGCATCTGCACGTCTATTTACCTTTTTTTTACAGCAGACATTTTGGCATGTCATAACAAGAAAAGAACAGGTGTAATGAATAAGATGAAAAACAACTCCATTATATTCTGGGTGCTGGATCAGAGGAATTGCTTATGGTGTGACGTTACCCTGACCTGGTTTTGCTCCCCATTTAATTCTAAGCAGAACAGGATGAGGCGTTTTTACCTCCGGTTGCAAATTAACTAGCGTCTTTAGCTTCCTGCCTCCGAACTTTGACTCGCAAACTTTTTAGCTTGTCCATTATCAAGCCAGTTGACCTCTCATTCGGGAATTATTGTTTGTTTATATTCTTGATTTATAACTACACAGAGAAATAACTCTGCAGCGGAGAAGGAGGAGTGAGTGCAAGGACAGTGACAGAAATTAAAGATGTGTGTTTGATAAGAAGCTGTATTATTTATGATGTTAAGTCCTGTTGTTCGCCCCCCTACCCAGGCTTTCTCAGTTTATGCCTATAACCCTGCCCATGTTATTTCCTGTCCTGCCTGCCTTTTGCTACACCACGCAAGTAAATTTTGCCTGGCAGAATGCGGCCTGAAAGCACCTTCACTCTTCCGTGGGGCACACCATCATTTGTTATTTGTTAGGCCTGTGCCTTTTCAAATCCTTCAGGGTTGAAGTCCTGCCGGCTCTTGCTCCTCTCGGATAGCTAATGAGCGCCTAATTGACGATCAACTCCATTTTTCCAGGTACATTTACTATCGTATTAGCCTCTGCACTGTTCAAATGAACCCACTTAGAATATGAACATGAAATTAACTTGACATAATCACCATGATATATTAAACAGTTAGACAATACGAGCATTTACCTATTGAATACAACATTAGGAGCCATTTTTAGTATTCACATAGTAATACTACTACTAGTTCAGTTTGTTTTACAGAAGTTTTGGCTCATTCAGCCATTGGTGTCAATAACTATAAATGGTTATGTATTAGTCATGAGATAAATAAGGATTTAGTTCATCAACCACTGCTTTCAGAGCTCTACTGCTTGGCATTAAGAAACCTAGCCTCACACAAAATGATTTGATTTAAACTTTGATTTGGTTTTATGTGTGTACGATGATGGTTACTGCTTTTATATGATGTCTTTGGGCCAAGTGAGCATTCAATATATATACTAAGAAAACATCTTCATTGGTAAAAAAAAAAAAAAAAAACCCAGCTGTCTGGTTGTGGTTATTATAAATTCTGTCTGGGAGAGGAAGTGAATCCTTATCTGTTGTATGATTAATACAAGTGTCACTTATGATATCTAGCCTTTACAAGGCAGCAATCAGACTGGAGGATATGAAAACAAGAGGCACCGTGCATTACAACACAACACCGTCTAGCAAGCAAGCTCCAAAGCAACTGTTGACATGCATAAGTAACAATCAAAGTGGATTGCAGTTGAACTATTGTGCTATATATGCCAATCAAACTACAAACGAAAGTGCATGTTCAAAGTTGTTCAACTTGTCTCAGTGATTACACAGAATTCCAGCTGACAAAAAAAGAATAACTTAAGACGTTCTCAAGAAATTCTCTCTTATCTCAGTCAGCCTGCCTCAATATTATCACAGCTGTCATTGAGAAACTCATAAGCAACCAAAACTGTATATGCCGGTAAAATAAATATCTTACAGAGTCCCGAAGGGGATTTCAAAACAACAATAACAACTGGAATGAGCTCACCAAACAGCTCAAGCAAACACGGCCCGGCTTCGCTTCACAGAGGTACCTCACAGTTTATCTCTGTGAATTCAACAAATTAGTCATTTGCCACCGCAAACAAAATCCTTATTTGCTTTATGATAATTATATTCTGTCTGGCTGTAATGACACAACAACAATACTGTTGATGTGATGTAGTCATTCTCTGTTTTGCCCTGCACAGGTGCCACGTCCCATAGGCCTCCTTAACACGTAAACACCAGTCAGCCATGTTGTATACGCATAAACAATGAGCAGATCATTCTATTCCATTTATTCGTACCTTCACTAGCTTCAGTTATGTATTTACTTTGAAGACGTTACTGTTAGCAGACTGTGGTATTGTTCAAAACACTCGCAAATGTTCACACGTCTTAATCCAGACCTTTCACAAGTGCCTTCGCTAACCAAAAAGTTTTATAAGGCTGAAAGAAAGAGGAGAAGTGATAGTGCATAATTTAATACACACTCCAAGGCTTCTGCTTTTTTTTTTTACATGATTTGGACCCCTGAAGGGCTCTTCATAGGCTCGAAGAAGGAAAAGAAGAGATTACTCCATGTTTGGTAAAGTGTGTGTCAAGAAGCAGATGCAGACTAGAGTAAAGTACATAGCAACGTGCTGTGTATATCCCTGCCCTTTTTAATCTCTTAGTAAAAGCCTATAGTCCCTGGTAAAATAAATGGGATTGGCTTAAACTAGCTTTCCTCCCACAGAACCTCCTTGTGTGTGTTGTAAGAAGAACAGCCCAATAACAATAGTAGCTACAGCCTTTCCCCAGAAACAAATGTGGATATAGCTACAGCATGCATCAACAAAGACGGGTGCAATGTTTGTTAGACAGCCAAAGCTAACAAACAGCATATAATGCTTAAATCCTACAGATGACTGAAGAAGTTTTCCAAAGTACTTTGAAACTCAGGGCTTTGCCTTAAATAGCTTCAAACGTAAGAAATCCGAGGCTTCACTGTGTTTTTCAATTTCATGTGTACACACAAACAGTATGACTTATTTAAATATTCTTATGCTTAACTTGAGCTGTTGAATATCTGTACTGAGTGACACCAGTGAAACATTAAGACCTGAGGTGTCACTTTGTTATGGCAAAGTCAATACAGCACTGCTGATCACAATGTGTGACTTGGACATCGCAAAATGAGTTTAAGATACGTTTCTGAGATGATACTAAATTATTAAATTGTGTCCTAGCTCTGAATGTAACCAGGCGCAATTATTTTCAAAATAAAACCTTCTAGCGAAATACGTGGAAATATTTCTAATTTATTTAAGTTGTGTGGAAATTAAAGGCACTATGGTCAGTTTATGCATGCTGGAACACTTTTGCTATTTTCATGGCCAGAGGCATCGGTACTGGATGAGACTATGAAGGATCTCTTATCATACAGTATATTATAAGGGAGTGTGTGTTAGCAGCTGGTTACAATTGTGGCCAATTACATCCGCTCTTTTCATCCCCCTTAAAAGCAGGGCTCTTCCTGTAAGGATGCAATTTGGTAATCCAGTGGTGAGTTTTCCTGAGGAAACCATTATTATTATTGTCCTGGATGTGCAGAGTGCTAAATTTGAGTACACAGCAACACAAAGAAGCTGATGGTGTCTCTTTTTAAGTTTGATTAAAGCTTGGGGACATAATAAATGCCTGTGTGTGATTTTACACACCTTACTTCATAGCACACACTGTTCAGTACCACATGTATAAACTCTTAAAAGCCATCATTCTAGTTATTTTAGGATTAAAAGTATTGTGACAGTAATGAACAATGTGGTGTGAACAATATTTGAGATTAATTAAATAACTAATGAAATCAGTCTAATTAAAACAGATTAATTTTCTGTACTGTACCTTTATTTCCTTTATTAAAGTTTAACTTTATTAAATCCCCATAACTGTGCAGTGTATCCGCTGGTGGTCCTTTTTGTCTATTTTTCATTAAATCTTTACTAAATGATTTTATACTCGTCTTTATAAAGTTTTTAATGTTGCTCTATTGTAATTATCTGCCTTATGTAAAGTACTTTCACTTTAGAAAATGTTCTATATAAATAAACTTACTTACTGTAAGGATGTACAGAAGAGGAAGTGGCACGTACTAAGTTTTTTTTCCCTTCTGCTTATTGCATGTGCCTGGATGTAATTATGCTTTACCTAAACATCTTAACTACAATGTAATCTGTTACACATACACAGACTACACTATAAGTTTCATACACACACTAACAGAGTCTGCTAGGTAATATGATGATAACTGAACACCTAAAATCTGTAAAATAAACCATAGTTAACTTCAAAGGCACACAAAAGAGTATTCATGATATAATCTAGGGACTTTACCTATAACTGATAAAATCACACACAGAGCTCCAGACCTACCAGACTCCCCATTTTGGATGAAGAAGAGTTGTTTCTGTGTTTAAGCAAACCGCATCCCTCCATGCCAGGGGCATCTCTGTGGTTTCCATGGATACGAGGCCCACCAGCCCCCTCAGACGAGGAGCGCAGACGCCTTTCCATCCGCATCACCTCGTGATAGGGGCTGACACTGCTACACAGAGATGCTGGAGGAAAGAAAGAGGTGAAGAGAGTCAGACAGACAGACAGACAGAGAGAAAGAAGGAATGAATTAACAGTGATTCCACAAGCAGAGGCATAATCATCAATTTATTACGTTTCAAATTGGTAGCAGTCAGCCCTGTTTTTTTTCATTAAACATAATGATAAAGCAACTCTTCTTTATTTAGCATTTTAAATGAAGTTAAATCTTCCTGTTATAAAGCTCTTCAACCATATTGCTTTTGGTCAAATTATATTTATGCCTGTTTTGTAATAATAAATATTGGTCTGAGTACCACCAAGCTTGCTGTATAATAGTACAACTACAGAATCAGTGAGATTTTTGGGGCAATATTTACAGACAATCTCACGTCCTGTCATTGAGCAACAGGTTATAAATATCTGTTAAAAACAGCGCTTCATGTCAACCACTTCCTCTCTTCCTCTCTCTCACACATACACTTGCACACACACAGCAGAGGCTAGTGACACTGTGCAATGCAAAAACAAATATATATAAATTCTGTTGTTGCGGAGTCCAACAGACAAGCTCACCCTGTTATCACTGTAGTCGGTCTGTAGTTCCCACTGCCTGGGAGCTAGTTATTCAGCAAGTGTAAATCAATATTCAGCTACTTTCCTGTCAGCATGTATTGCAACATACTGTGTGTGTGTGTGTGTGTGTGTGTGTGTGTGTGTGTGCGTGTGTTCACAATCCTACAATAGCGCATAAAGCTGGCAGATGATCCTACAATCATGCCCCCGTTAAAATGCACAACAGCGCACACCAGTCACAGTTACAGTTCCTTCCAGAGTTTCTAATACAATAGAAAGCTGAGATTTCAACTATAACTGGATATGTAAGTGCGAGCAACTTATATACTTTCTATAGCAGTATTTGTCCTGGATAAATCTCTGCATGCGTGAATCAAATTGGAATCATTATTTTGTTGAACAGTTTGACTATGATAGTGCTCAGCCGCAAGCACAGCATTAATATATAATATTCTCAATTACAGAGTTCGTTAGTCCTAGAGAAACCCTAAATTTGCACCCCTTATGAGATCAAATGTTCTATTTCTTTTCCTGAGAGGGTTTTTGCAGTGTCTGCTCAAAGTCTGCCATGAGGTAAATAATTGTTGGAAAACACAGTGATGGGCTTCAGACTAAGGGAGATTTTTTTTGCCAGAGAAGCCTTGGCTGAAAAAAAAAAAACCTGCTCTGCAATATGTTACAGCAGCTTAGGAAGAAGTGAGGAGAATAGTAACAAATCAGCTTTGGTCAAGGATTACATTTTCAGTATGACATACACTGTCAACCCACAACTGGCATTGATTTATTAGACTCAGTAGATCAACTGTCTGAGTTACTGCTACTAGAAGGAGTGACAGCTTCAAGAGTTCAGTTGCTGTCAAATGTCTCTTATAGTATTTGTAACGTTTGAAAACATTCTCAACTTTTATCAAAACTTTGAATTACCAATGAATTTGAAAGCTGAGAAAACATCTAGTAGGTTTCAATCACCAAGAGGAAACTGAGCTGAGTGAGACATGAGTGTAGTAATACCTTGATTCTGATTAGACCATTTTGCATCACCTCCACTTACCGGTTTCCAGGGGGAATTTCTTTGAGAGGCTTGGTAATGAACTCTCAAAGATTTTCATTTTCTATGTCGTTCACATTTGATCACTTGTTCGGTCATGCATAAAGAAGTAATAAACCCAACGCTGAAGGAGCATGAGCATGGCATCACTTCAACCACTAATAAATGTTTACAGTCAAACTCATATTGGTAGAAATTATTGTGAATGTTTTCTATGAATTGTGGTCATATTATATTCACAAATGAACCAGAAGTTAAACACTGTAAACAGTGGTTTTACCATCATATTGATGTCTTATATATTTATTATTTTATTTACTTTATAACATTAAATATAACCCTCAGGGCAAAAATCAACATATCGTCTGTCACAAAATGTTATGAATTATTATGCTAAATGAACAGCATATTTGTCATACCAGCAAGCTGTATATGCCCGCATACATCGTCACTGCATAGCAAGAAGTCAGTGCTGTTTTTGTTTGTTGGTTTTTCTGTTGCTGCCTTTGAAATAACAAACTGGTCAAAAATCTTTTGTAGCCCTCATTACAAAAGAATGTCAAACGAGTATGGAAGCCAAGTTTGTGTCTGTCTGTGTGTTATGATGAGGGATCAAACGGGGCCTCTAAATACCACTGTGCAGTAGTGTATGATATTTGTGTGTGCGCGTGTGCATGTAATAATCTGTGATTTACATGAGTTCATACCTGCATGTGGTTTTCTCAAGTGAGAGGACCTGGGTTCGTGGCGGCCACAGAAGCTTCCTCTTTCTTGAAAAGACAGCGTGTGTCTTGCCTTCCTTTCCGATTGCTCTGGGTTAGAGTGACAACCCTCACTGCGTACCACACATGCCTCGCTCTCACTTGTGGTCTCCGTCTGGTAACCTGCTTTCCTCTCCTCCACCAACTCCTTCCTCTGCTCTGCTGACTCCTCTTCCCTCGCTTCCCTTCTCTCCTCCTCCCTCTCCTTCCTCTCTTCCAGTGATTGTTCTTGAAGAGGTAGGCAGGGCACAGCTGTCTCAGGCTCTGAGAGGGAAATGGCGGTCTCATAGTCTGTGTTGTTGGCTGTGCTGGTGTCAGGGAGTAAAGGTTTTTCAGCACTGGATTGGGCTGGAGTAAAGAAAACCTAAGGAAAGGGTGATTTGTAAAAAATTAATTTAAAACAGCATTTTTAAAATGTTATATTCAAATACAAGAACAACTCAGAGCTCCAATGAGGCAAAAAGCAGTTTACAGAGAGGAGAGGCCACTTTAGCACTCATTTAGTAGGTGGATATTTGTGTCCTCAGGCGGCAGTGCACAGTTTTATATAACACAGTCATACAGTATTTACTCTTGGCCTAAGCACAGAGCTTTGTCTCTGCTACAGCTATCCTTTCTGGGGGCTCCCTCCTCAACCAGGAAATAAAACAGATTAAAATCTATGAAGGAGGAAAAGTTATCAGCACTAAGGTGAGAAATATGGAGGGGAGTTAGCAGACATGCGTAGGTTTTTCTTTTTCATGCTTTAGCTATTTCAATAAAAAAGGTCTTTTCATGCTCGGTGCTCAATTTTTATGCCACATTTCACAGATTCCACTCAGTGGTCATAAATATTCCTCCTTTGTTTTTCTTCTTGACATCAAGGGGCACCTGTGGTTGCACTGTCTGTTCCTGAAGCACTAATATCGCCATCTTTCTACAAATAAGTTCCTGTTTGTACAAGCAAAAAGATTTATTGTTCAGATAATATAGCATGTTTGATGTTGCATTATGGTCAAAAGAAGTAAAGAGCGTAAAACAAGCTACCTGGGAGGTAGAGACAGCTACACCGAAGTTCTCTGGAGCAGGTAGGGGGTCAGGTGGAGCTGTGTCAGTAGCCAGTCCAGGTACAGAGGCAGGTCCTGGGCCTAAACCAGATCCGGGGCTGGGAGCTGGCAGAGCATCCACCTCGGATACAGAATCCTCCGTGATGGGGATGAACTCTGAAGGGGTGACTGCTGTGGTTCGGTCCTCTGATATTATAGGGGATTGGAGTGAGCTCTCACCACCGGCACCAAGCAGCTCGCCTGGCAGTGAGCCTGGGGTGAGCCCTCCTGTCCCTGGAGTGACGGTGGTGGAGCTCGGAGGTTCCAGATTCACTTCTGGAGGCCTGTGGTGATCGGAGGTCTTGGAGAAGCGGTGGTGAGCCGAGAAAGATTTGGGCAGCAGCTGTTTCTTCTGCCGCGACGACCGCTTGTTGTTATTACTGCCACCGCTGTAGTCATCGAGGAACCCGGAGTCGTCGCCCTCATTGGCCCCCGAGCCGCTGATGCAGTTTATAAACACATTTCGATTGGCTGTGGAAGAGGACGAGGATGCTTTCTCGAAATCCTCGGTCTGAGAGCGTGTGATTTTCTTCTTGTGGCTGCCGAACCCAAACGAGTGGCGTGACTTGGGGCGTCCGCCGCCCTCGCTGAAACCTGTCGACAATGACGTTGTTATCGTCTGCTGGTTATTTCCATTTGTGTCGGTGGCCTGTGTCAGCGGAGGTGTGAGGTTCAGGTTTATAGGCTGGACACGTGGCTCACTATTCCGTTTAGCTGTGAAACTGAGAGAGGGAGTGCGGAAAAGGCTCCGGCGTTTCCCGGTGCTGCCGGAGCTGGAGTTAGTGCTGGAGGGCGAAGAGCTGTGGACGCCGTTCCCCACCCCGCCTGAAGACGGAGAGGAGGGGAGAGACTCCTGCCTCTTACTGCTGCTGCGGCGGAAGATGGGCAGGCGGGAAACAAGCGTGGAACGGCGTGATCCTGATTCACCCATCTAGACGCTGAGGCAGAGGGGAACAAACAAAAAACAGTTCATGTTTATAACATGCATCAGCATAGATTCACCTTCAGTCATAAGATTACATTCTTACTGTCATATTGATTATTATTGAGCGCCTTAATAATTGTGACATTCACAACTCTGAACATGCAATGTCTTCTCTAGTGCGGCAGGTAAGAAATCACAAATAACAAAGCGACTGTTCATATTTATTAACCTTCTAAGCAAATACTGGACCCACACACAACCACATGGAGGAGCACACAGTATTTTCAAAACAAGGAGCCTGAGTGTACAGACAAAGTGAAGTGAGAAATCTCACATTAAGGAATCATATTTCCCACGCTGAATGAGTCAAAACAAGTTATTGCTGCATCTTTAGCTTGCAGATGCCTCTGTTGCAGCGTGTTATACGTGTTAGATTTCTGCTCCTAAGGCATCAGTAATACATGTGTAAACCAAAACAGCGTTGTTTACCCCGTTGCTGTTAGACCTGTGAAGTTTCTAGAAAAAATATTTCAAAATACAACTGCCTTTAAAAATATCCAGTCTGAAAATACCCAGCATAGTAAAGATGCCTAACTGAGCCACAGAGCACAACATTATCTGTCCCAAAACACCATATGTAGTGTGGGAAACAGCACATCCAAAGATCACATGTTCTAGCTCCAGTTCAGGTATGAGACCTGTAGGAGTGACTTCTCTTTAACATGCCCCATACGACAATCAACATTTATCTGACAGCTGAATCACGAAAAAACAATATAAAGCGCTGAATCTGATACAGACCTATTTTATTTGATTTTACTTATGCATTGCTTAATTCATTTACTGAAAGCACATCACGCAAAAGACGACAAAAAAGCAAAAGTGGGAGCCCCATTTAAAGATTATTATCTCAGACAGAAAATCCACGATAGAGGAGAATCTTGGACAAAAAAAGAGTCTCTAATAAAAATGAACTATCAGGCCTGTAGCTTTAGGAGCTTGGACTGTATACCTTCTCAACGGCACTGTCTGTCTTTGAGGGTAAAAACTGAGGGGCTACAACACTGTGCCCCATTTAATCTTCCTTTACAAAATGCTTTCTACAGTTTTTTTTTCAATTAGCAAACCTCTTAGTAAACACATTGCAAGCAGGACTATTGTCTCACTGCTTGTAAGAACTATCCAAAGTTCCATGTGTGGAGTTGCAGATTAAACGGAGGCGTTCATTTCGGTAAATACTCACGCTTTCATTGTTTTCTGCTATTAATTAGCCAAACAGTGATTATGAGGTCCTCGTAATGTTGAAGAAGCTGCCTCCGTGAGAGCTACTGAAGTGTTTTGTTTTCGATCTCTGTGTAATAAGCTTACATTAACACCCTTTACTGGCTTACGAGTGTGTCACCTCCTTGAAAGTAAATTTGATCAAGTTCTAAATACACAGTGAGTGATGCAGTTCCTAGTTTAATACCATGTTAGCTCACTGCAATATATTAAAAGGGCGCATTAATAGCTGATAACATTTACAATAAGGACACAGCAATCAATTAACTGGTATGCACACACACATAACAACATGCTGCTATGCTTTGCTCGGTCCTCCCTGGATTACTTCAAGCTGTCCGCGCGAGTCAAAACACATGATGCAGGTTGGCAACCTTTTCAACGCGTAAGAGATTCCTTTTTTTGGGATGAGCCGGCAGTTCAGTGTGTGGTTTCTTCTCATCACCACCACACGGCCATTCGACCAGGTCATGGCACTCTGACCTGGCTCATTAATACAAGATAAGACATCCAAGTCATTAGAGAGAGATTAAAGAACACCTGTGTTATTTACCTTACCAATCAGGGGTAATAAGAAGACTCGCTATGAGGCCTTGTGGGTAGTAAAACATACTTTAACTGACCAACTGCTAATGGACATGCGTACGACTGCATTTGGCATTATGGTACTGTTACATAAAGGCTATAACACATCAGTAGCACAAACTGCAGGCTACCTCGCACGAAGTCTGCACACAAAGTGGTAAAAGAGAAGCAGTGCTGCACTGAAGCGGGTTCTTACTTCCTCACTGCTCTGTCGCAGATTACCTGTATTAGAGAAGCGAAACTCCACCTGAGCTCTGTTCCTCTTCCCTTTGCTCCATACTGCAGTTAATCAAAGTGCTGCTTTGTTGAATAACAAAGTACAGCGCAAACACAATTTGATTCGCTGTGTGTTTCCCTGACTTCCAATTAAATGTGGACATGACTGAAATAAATTCAGCTCATTCACAGTGGACTAGAGTGATTCTTTTTCTAAATATTTCAGGATTTCACTTTTACTTTCAAGTAACTGCCCCATATTAATGGGTCAATAACACAACGACAGTCAGTACAAAACCGGTGTAAAGGCTCTGCAGTTGCATCAAAAAAACACCCTAACAGGTTTCGGTGTGATATAAACTTAAAAAGAGTTATTTGTATGATTATTAAGGTTTTGTTAACAGCCATTAAGATACAACAAATTACTGCCACAGTTCTCAAAGCGCATATGTGTAAGTGTAATGTGTAAGGGCGTGGGAACACTTCTCTTTTGTTCATAGATAGCTAATGCCAGCTAGTATGAAGTCATTCTCGTCACCGCGTTTATGTTCAGTTCAGTGCTTCACACTGACAAAGCCACGTACGATGTAATGCACATACACTACACTACATATGTTGTTAATGCACCGTTCTGAGTTCAGGGGAGTCGCCATGCCCAAAAAGGATTACAACATATCTGTATGCAAAATGAGCAGCTTAGCTTGAAGTCTTTTACTCCTTCACGACTGTGTAGTTTGCATTGCCTTATCAACACACCCTTCAGCCCGAGCCTGTATCGCTTATATAATATATCAGGAGGCTAATGCGCGGGTCCCATCTCAGTGACATTTACACCGACGCGATTATCTCTCAGCGTGAATAAAAGGTGTGTATGGGGCGTGAAGAACTGGGTGTTTCCTATAAAACAGGTTCTCAATGGGATCTTTTTTTCACAACAATAATCATATTACATGCAAACCGTAATCTTATTCTACTAAATGTAATGGAAGATTACACATTAGGCAGTGTGCTGCTGTGTTTAGTACTGGCTGAATGCAATATATGCTTCACACAAGCTTTCAGTTTCCTGTCGACTGATATGGCATCTTAAGATCCGTTTAAACAAATGTAACACCGTGGCTCAACCAAAGACTCTGGAAGGTTTAGTACTAGTTTTAGCCTGGAGCGATTCGCTTTGAGAAGTTGTGTATTTTCTCAGAAGGAGTGAGCTGGCTTCGATAATGAGGCGGGTGAAAGACGAACCAAAATATCACCATTTTTCACCCAAATACCTCTACCTTCACACACGTCGATACAATACAGTATACAGGATATATACAGTATGTGTATATGATGAGCAAAGTTAATTTAACTCAGGTACAAACAACATTAAGCTATGAAGACCAGGAAAAAACTAATCTAAGCTACATACAAGTCACTATATTACAAGAGGCAGACTCCCGGATGATACCTTATCTATCATTTAATCGATGTTACATCAACTTATCACCAACACTGTCACTTAAAACAGGCATAACCAAACTGCTAAACCATGTCTATGCAAGCCAGGACATGTGGTCAAAACAACGAGCTATCTTGAGAAAGAAGGCGCCTTTTCAACCAGGGACTCAAGTGACAAATGTAATCTCTCACCTTTGGCCCCAACAGAAACTTTGCTACCTAACGGACGGCAAACATCTTGTTTAGGGCCACTAGACAATTAACAAACTGCAGATTAAAAACCTCTGCTAATTCACACCGCACATCCCATTATATGGACGTGGTTTTTTTTTTTCCATCCGGATGCCGTATGCGTAAAAACTGAAAGCAATAGTGGCCGAGAGTTCAAGGAGAAAACACATGCAAATAGGCAAAGCACAAGCAAAACACAAGCGAGGACGTTGACAAAAACATACGTCATGTTTAGAAAACACATGCTGCAAATGAAGAAGACAGCCGAACTGAGAGAAACATTCACCAGCTCGACAACATATGTACGGCAAAGACACAGACAACACAGACAACTGGAAGACAGAAGCACATACAGAAATGCTGAAACTGATTAACAAAAAAAAAACTACAGATTAAACCATACGGGATACAACTGGAGAGCAGTAATAGTAAATGCATTTTAAAAAAGAATCTAATAACAGATAAAAACAATATTTTAGTTCATATGAACACACAGAAGCAGTGTCTCCGATATGTTATGTGGTGAACACATTATTGTCAGGTAGATTTAACATTATTAGGAATAAGCTATGATTTCACAAAGAGGTTAATACATAATCATTGATAAACTGATCACAGAATATCACACTAAAAAGGTGTCAACATGCTTGAATAAAGACTTCATCTGCAAACACAGTGCTGAACATGCACATGCTCAAAGGAAGTGAATGGGAGCTGGGTGCATTTGGCTGAATAGAGGGTACGGGCCAGGGTCTTTTTGTTAGACATCTTCAGTCCAACCCTGATGACAGCACAGTGGTAAACAGCACAGTGGTCTTCATCAGAGAAGTGCCCCTTTAAGGTTTTGCTGAAGACACAGCTGTTACATTCACAGTGGTTACTGATACAGTGGCACCTCGTTAATGATCACGGCCTGGAGGTTTACTCCACGTTTCATGACTGCATGAACATGACAACAACGAATGGGCCTCGGCGTGTTGTGAACTGTGTGCTTACAGAGCCACTGTACCAACACTTACCGCTCAACAGGCCCTGGTTTGCTGGCATTTATTCTGACCACGAAGTAGCTAGCTATAGCCGGTTATCACATTAGATGGGATGCGGAGATGCCAAAACGCGTGTAACCCGGCGGCAGCCCCAGCGGGACACCGAACAACTGTCAAACCAGAAACGTCAACAACGCGGTGACGTCTGTCGACCTTAAATCCAGACTAGCTAGCCGCGTCAAATCACTGACACTCCACTGTTACTGGTGAAGCTAATGGTCCCTGCGACGTTGTGTCCATAAAAAGCGGCGTATCGCTTTCCCTCAAGCTACAAAGGTCACCGGTGTGCAGAGGAAACACTGTAGCATGCACAGTCCGGTGGTTGAGCCGGGGGGAGGTGTGGTGTGGTGGTGGTGGGGGGGGTACGTTACCTTCAGCGGATTCCCAGTGTCTCTACCGAGGCCGCTCGGTGCGGGAAGCAGCAGAATATGTCTTCTCTCTGCGCTCATGCGAGTTGTTGTAACCTACATGAGGAGGGCTGTACAGTGGGGCTGTACAGTGGGGCTGAGGCGGTACTGAGGTTAGCACCTTGTGTTGCACTGACGCCAGTATTACACCTCCGTGACGTGGAGCGCCTTTTCCTCCTTCCTCTCTTCCGCGTTGCGACGACGACGGGCAGCGAGCGTGCACAACGTGACGTGCCTCCTCCTCTTCCTCCTCCTCTTCCTCCTCCTCCAATAGCATCCTTCAGCAGGTGGATGGCTGGATTCAATGGCGAGTATCATCAATAAACCCACCCCGAGGTGTGTCATTAATAACTCACTTAATGTTAGGATTTGAACTGGAGACATATGTTGACCAAATTTGGTTTTTCAATTTGGATTTGTTCCCCTTTTTTGTGTGGTGATATGTGCAGGCTATGATTTATATTAGATATGATACACTTTATTGATCTGAGGCATGGACATTGATGTCTAAATAATGTCTAATAAAATAAATATACAAAAT